TAATTAATAAAAAAAGTAAAATTTTGCACTGTATGAAATGCTGCTGGTGCTGTTTCCGCTAACGAATGCAGCATTCAAAGAATAAATGAACGTCAAATCGTTAATAGCTTGCAGTAGCTGTTTAAAAAAAAATTGTACAATTATCTTGTTCTGTATTTTTTTAGGTCCATAGTTAAAAAATCATTCGGGTTATGGTCTACTCAAACGATAATTCACTCAATGCCATCGGTAACGCTGGTGTTTGAGGAGGCCAAAGACGAGCACGACGCCGATATCACCATCCTTTGGGCAGAGGGTGAGCACGGTGACGAATATAAATTTGACGACGCTGGTGATGAAATTAACATTTTAGCACATACTTTCTATCCCAACTATCATCGAGGAACTCTCAACGGCGACATACATCTTGGTAACAATTCAGCTGTCATTTGTCTGCACTTAAAAATTAATATGCTGATAAAAATTCTGTTTGCAGATTCAAACTTTTGATCGTCCAAACTGCTACTTTTACACAGACCACTGTATCCGTTTTTGTCAAATTTCGTAATAAATTCCGACTTTCAGATGATGCTGAAACATGGACAAGTGATGGACGTTATGGTGGTACAACGTTCGCCAACGTTTTTATTCATGAAATTGGTCATGCTTTAGGTTTAGGACATAGCAAACAGGAAGAGGCAATTATGTTTCCGGTCTACAAAAAACATCCGAGAGAGCATGAACATTTTGATTTGGATGACAAATGTGCGATAAATTGGAACTATAGTAAGTTACTGGTGCAGATTTATTTCTTTTATATCTTTTTATCTTTTAAAAACCTAATTAGTAAAATATTAAATAAAGAAAAGAAAAAGGTTTGAAAAGGAAAAGCAAATCAAAAAACTAGAAAATCTAGGTCACATTTGTTTTACGTACAAAAAAAATTATCTTTTTTCTTACTTCTAACGTATTTTTTCTAACCCTTTTTAAACATAACCAAAGAAAGAAAAACAAGTGGACTTAAATGTCGGATCAGTTTAAATGACTTTCGCCTACATTAATTTACTATCGCAGTTTACAGTATTTTCGATTTTTTTTTTGTTGTCGAAAACTGCACCTTTTCTGTCTCACCGCTTTTTTCACCCTGCCTAATGACAGTGCAAAATCTTTGAAATTTTTGACCATTACAAAGGTTAAAATCTGTTTGAACTGCGCTCAAGAAAAGTGATAAAAAAGCTAAAAACTTTTTTTGCACAGCCAAATTTCAAATTAGACGCTCATTAAAAAAAAAACAGAAATGTCGTATAATTACAGTTTTAAAACTAAAGTCCAGTCAGAGGTCAAACTGTCGACATATTAGCAACAGCCGAACACAATGAACAGATATAATCAGCCACAGAAGTGAAATAACCTTATTTTGGCATCATCTGACCTTATTGATTGATATGTTTTCAATCTGTCGCATCCGAACGCTATTTTTAATCTATTTTTAGTCCTTAATTTTTATGATTATTCTATTCTAGTTGGTCCCTCAAATACATGTTTGTTCGTATGGATAATGTCTGAGATTGTTAAACACCAAGTGGATCATAACAGCAAAAATGGAATGGTGGCTAATAATGGTAAGTGATGTAATAAACCTAATAAACGGCACTGCAATTAACCGAACATTGTTAAGAACAAACAATAATTATAACAGATGGATGATATAATTGTCAAACAAGCGTTACAAAAAATTTTTACTAAATTTTGTTATAAAGTTTTATGATGTATTAACAACGGTTATTTTTCAGTTGCTATAACATCAAAATCTAAACAGGAAACAAGAGAAGACAAGTTATTGGAATTGAAGGATAAACTAAGGAGTAACTTTTACTGAATAAAGTTCAATGTCATCGTTATTTAACTGTCAGTCAAAAACAATCTATTTAATTTAAATCTGCAATATCTGAAAAGACTTGTTTATTTATTTACTTCTATTTTTCTTCCAGAGACACCTATTCCACGTTGTAAAGAAGATAATGAAGTTCAAGAAAAAATAGAGCATAAACTGTGGCGAGAGCTTAACGTTGATCCACAAAAAGCTCATGAATACAGTACGTTGTATACTATTAACTTTTTCCAACAAAGTGTTTCCTTAGTTCACTTAGTGAAAAACACCTTGTTTTTCCGAATAATTTATGTTTTTTACAAATAGTTTTTTAGGTAAATTGTCATGCAGATTTTTGAACGGTTTGCACCGCGAATTTCGTGAACATCCATTTTCGTTAGACGAAGCGTCTCTTAACAATCAAACAAAGTTACTGGAATTACCAACGGTACGTCAGAAACGACATCTGCGACACTTACGACATCGACGAATACGCTATCATAAAAACCGTCATTCGTTAAGTTTTCACGATGACGATGCCTTTAACAGCAGATTTTTTGACAATTTTTTATCGTTATATACACAGTGAACGGGCCTATACTAAATCACCAAACTTTATATGCTTCTAAAAACTCATATTTTATGGAACATATCAGAACATTCAGGGTACCGCTAGTCATTTGTCTTATAAATCTTTGGGTAATTTATGAATATGTGTACTTTAGTTTTTTTTCAATCTTTTTTTGTCTGTTTTCCCTTCCCTGTTTCTCTCTTACAATCAGGTATTATTCGTTGCAGTATTTTGTGCAAGTCCCAAAGGTTTCATCGGTTTTAACAATTTGTTTATCATGCTGTGCACAGTGCTTTCAACTTTGATCCAGTGGAGAGGCTTAAAGGCCTGAAAAAAAAAAAGAAAACAGAAGACTTGAAACCAAAAGAAGCAGACACTTAAAAGCTATTTTTGTATCATATACTGTAGTTTATGATCAAGATGAATCAAAAAAATAATGCTTTGAGATAGCTATTATACGAGTTATAGGTTATGCGGATATATCAATTTTACAACTGTTGTAAAGTCAAAAGAAAAAAAAGGAAAAATTTTTTTTCTTTTATTTAATAATTCTTAACGGGTATTCGGGTGGTAGAGTTGATACATCTTTTCAATAACCTTATCAACATCGGGTCCTAAATTTCAGCTTACATTTAGTTAGTTTTAGTTTTCCAGTTCTTCTTCTTTTCTTTCGTCTCAGTGATGACCTCAAACAAAGAAACTGTTGTTAAAATTAGCAAAAAATTTTGCAGTTAAAAAGTAAGACAAAAGATTAATACAAGTAGCTAGAAATTTTTTTTTGTTACCATTCTCGGAAAACCGGTGTTGTTGTAAAAAGCCGTTTGTTTGTTTATTTTTTGTTTTTCGTTTATTTTCTTTTTATTCTATTTTATTTTTTGTTAAACTGTTTGTTTGTTTGTTTGTTCAACCTAATTTTATTTGGTTAAGTATAACGAGTATGCAAATGCCAAAAGTTTTGATGTGCAATGGTTTTGTAGTCAAACAGGGTGCATAATTTCAAATTTGTGATCATTTTTTAGGTGTTGACGACAAGAAGTTTATTGTATTTATATCCTGGTCTTTTTTACTGCATTCTTTTTCTGAGCTCTGATGGGTAATATTTGTTTATCCGACGGTTCATCGTTTGTATTATTCCATTCTGTAATATGCTACCGGAAATTTGTTCATTGTTCAGTCAAGTCTTCTGCCGTTGTCCTCATTGATAAATTGCCATTGGCCCAAGTAGCTTAGTGTTGTTGAGCCTAACTGTAATTACAATGCTAATTATGAGGAAACAATGAGCAATCATTGAACTGCATCTCTATTCCGACAGTTCGCATATCTATTAATGCAGGCAACCGTAAAGTCGCCGTAATTGTAGCGATATCAGATATGCGTACAAAAGAAAAAAAAAAAAGGGTGAAATAAAACTGTGATTATAAAATGTAAATTAAGTAAATGTTTCGCTCATCGTCACTGGTATTATAAACACTTGAAGCTAACTAATAAAATAATAATTAATTAAAATTTATTATCCAGTTATTAATTTATTTAATAAAAAAGTAGAAAAAAGAACAAAATGTGTTTTAGCAGAATTTTTTCAGTTAGAAAAAAATGCCACTTTTTACGTCGTTAATTGGCTACTATTTGGTTGAACCGTTGAAATTTAAAGTTGAAAATATACGCAGGAAGTAAAGTGCTAAAATTTGATCTATGAATTAAAACAAAAGACTTTTTTTTTCTTCAAACAAACATAATAAATTTCAACTAATCTTTATAATTCATTTTTTCCTGCACTTCTCATTTCTCTATTCTCTGCAAAAGCTTAAGATTTTTTCTACTTTTTTTTTAATCTCATGATTCTGAAATATAAACTTTTTAAACATTGATAAGAAAAGAGATCAGAAAAAGAAACGCATTAATGGAGCACAGCCATTGCAGAAAAGTGGACTATTGAAAAAAGCGTTCGCCACACACACACACACACACAGACTGAAATAAATGAAAAATTTTAATGGCTGCAATCGACAGCACAATACTTTTTTTCCTTACTTTTTTCTTTTTGTATTAACCTTCCTTAAACTGCTCTTTCTTATTGAAGAAAATCACAGAGTTTTCCAGTAGCAGAGAATAACAGCTGAGAAGTGGCAGTTTTTTTTTTTTTACACCTCGCCAGCGTCAATTTTTATTGCATAAGAGCGGTTATTATTTAATTTGCAACTCTGAATAAAAATGGCCAAAAAGTCTCGGTTTTAACACTTGACGGTTATTAATAATTGATTTTGATACGCGTTTTTTCTGAGATATAATCTACAAAAACAATTGATAAACAATCGCAAAAACTTAACAAAGGTAATTAAGCTGGAAAGTGATTATTTCCTTAACTGTTGTTTCGCTAAAATTTCTGATGGACCGCAACAAAAACATAAAATTGCTTAGATATCGAGCTCGTTCTCTACTTAAACTGAATAAGCCAAAAAAGTATGCTGATTAGTGCAGAAAAAAAATATATATAAAATAAAAACTGAAAATGGCCTAAACATCAGAAATGTAGTGATATTTCTGCCACTGTTCTTTTAACAATAAGTTGACAAATTTCTAGTGGTAATTTTTCCCTTGTAGCTTAACTTTGAGTATAACAAAAAAAGTTTAAAAAAAGGCAATTGAAGAAGTTGTCGAATCAGATGAAACGAGCAGAAAATGTAACTTGAATATTGTAAAATGACTTTAACAAAGTGTGTCTGTCAAAAGTGAACACCTGAAGTTTAAAAGTCATTCGGTGGAACAATGAATCAGTACTAATTCTTTCAAATTTTTTCTTCTTCAACAGATAGGGCATTGTGCAGTTCAGTAACAGTTAACTGTTTTTATCATTAAATGAATGCTCTCAATCTGTATTTCGCAAGTATTTTTTGACTCAGCAAAGCGTTAGACTGTTCTATGCATAGTTCAAAAGTCACTGTAACGCTAGTAAACAGCAATTTTCTTTTGCTGATACACTGGTATTTTAACGATTTACCGTCCAAAAACAGTGTATTTATATTCAACCAATCTCTAAAAAATTAAAAAAAAAAAAAAGAAAAAAAAAGGAAATGTTTTTTGACGTCTCTCATATTTGTTGAATAGTTATAACAGCATCAACAAAAAAGAAAAAAGCCATTATTTTGAAAATATTTCACAAAATCTTTCAAAGAATGCTCACCAATTGTTCAATGAATGAACAGTTCTTTATTAGTCTCAGCTGTGTTGCAAAAACCCGTTCTTCCGTATCAGTATCATTGCTTTTGTCTATTTCGACGTGCTGAAAAAGCGCAAAAACTTTGACCATATTTATCATCAATTCAGACGTAGGTTTGAGTTATATCTACTTCGTTATTTGTAGCATTTTGAATACTGGTTTTTTTTTCACATCAAAGGAAGGATACCTTTATCAAGTTTTGTTCTTCTCCTGACTACACTGCAGCACTATAGAAAAATGTTAAAATTACTGATTCTGTCGACAAAGCAAAGTCAGTTGCTTCTCACTTTATTTATCAGCAAACACCTACATATTTTTAATGTCAAATATTAATCAGCTAATAAGAAGATTTATTTTGTAAAATTCTTTTTTCACTTTGTTGCTGTTTAACTGTGTTGTTTAAAGAAAATGCTCTATTTTTTAATGTAAAAAAAATTGTAAAAAAAGAAATGTTGTTATTTTTGGTGAACATTCTCGTTAATTCTTTTCAGACTAAGAGAGCAAAAAATAAAATATGAAGGAAAAATTCTCAAGAAAATTGTTTAATGTAATTC